GCTCTTCCTCTGAGCACTGTAAAGAAATGTAACACTCGATTTTACTGGAGCATACTTTCACAGAAAAAGACCAGTAAAAAAATCCCTCTTACAGAAAAAGTAAAAAGATGACTATATTGAAGTTATCCAAGAGGCCCTGGAGTCTAGCGTTGTAGATTAAATTAGGCACCTGTTCATTTCTGACCTCTTCTGCCTTATGGGAAGGCATGTCAGCAAAGTCTTTACATACTCAAATTAACTGTAAATATTTGTAGCATTCTTTTATTTTTATAATTTTCTCATTCCCAAATCATTACACATCAAGTCACGGGAATGCCTTAACATAAAAGGACACAAATACTAGACCAGGAAGTCAAAAAATATTGTTAATCTTGTGATGCTGATAAATCTTTTTTCGCACTACAAATAATGCTAAAGACTGACCTAAGATATATTCAGTCCTGGATGAGGCGCTCGTGTTCACAGTATTATACACAAGACATGACACTGGCTGAAGCACTACTATTAAAGAGAGATTAAAACAGCTGTACATTATTAAAAAAACCTTTACAAACAGACGGTCCTGGATTACAAGCAGCACTTGACCATTTAAATCACTACAACAACCAGATTTAACCAGCTGGGCCATATTCTCTTAGGCAATGCCTGCTGACCTCCTCAGTCACAGCTGCTCAGATGAAATTCTCATTAGACAACTTATTTTCAGAAGCCAAAGGACTCTGATTAAATATATTTATTTAGACATGGTAAAGTCTTTCAGTATGTATTCCTTTTTTCAGTGTTACAACAGAGACCACAACAAGCACTATATACAAGCATAACTGACACTTAATATCTGAAAGTGCACCACACAATATTTACGTATTAGACACGAGTGATTCACGTTAACTCAAGTCCAGACCCTATAGATGGATCAAAAAGTTACTATGGCAACATTAAAATGGACTTGTTGCTGTACTAGCCTAGAGGTTGGAGCAGAAGACTGGAATTCTTGAGTTCTTTTTTTTGCTTCTAACTTGGCTATTAAGTTGACACACGACCTTATTTTAGCCCAACTGCCCCACTACAAGGATGTTCATGGAGCTCCTCCCTGTAAACTTCGAATACATGCTACCAATTTATTCCAAGGAGCAATGCAAGACTTTGCTTCTCTCTAAGGCATTTTGAGAACCAAAGATAAGAAAGCCCCACAGAATTCACACAGTAGTATACAGTAGGAAAAGATGTTTGTTCACCATTACGTTCATTAAAGAAAATTATATCATGGTATGTACTTGCCCTAAAAATCAGCAGGTGTGTTTCAATTTGGGTAAGCAATTTGTAACAGATCAGGGCTCACTATACAATGGGCTCCTCAACAGCACTGGCTGCAAACTATTTTAAGGAGAGCTCTGTGAACTCCATACAAACCTATTTTAAAGGATACATGTTGAAGAGCATCATTGATGGTACATGTGTGATTAGGCTATTAATTGGGTAGTTTAAAAGACACTGTTAAGATGGCAAACCATTTTCTGCATTTCTCATTTCTGCAACTCACTTAGTGGAAGCCCATGCACCCATAGTCACAACAAAGATCAGAATCTTAAAATACTAATTATTTTTTAAATGTTATTTTATTCAAATCAAACAAATATAGAGAGGTTACTTGTCTGCAATTCAGAGAAACTTCTGAATACTGAAGTATGTATTCAAATCTGTCATTACAATTTATTTATTCCTAGTCGACACAATAATTTAAAGGCATTGAATTCTTTAAGTGTAAAATTCTGAATATTTTCAAATCTTTCTATTAATGATTTTTCTGCATTTGCTTACACAGGACCAATCAGACGTCCAAAAATTATTTTTGCAAAATGGAAGTGAATCTTTTCCACAGAAAATGCTTGATAGCTTGAAAAGAATTTGACATGAAGATACAGCCAATTACCTTTCAACTTACAAGCTTTAAAGTAGTTTTCCAGGGTAATGTGGTCCATAAAGGGCAAGATTGTTTTACAGATCAGGAATCACCTTTATTTCGCAGCTGGTGGGAATATGCAGCATGGAGGGCTCAGACTCTGTAAGTGATCCCTTTGCTGTGTACATTCCTCTCTTAAATCAAATCAACTAGCATATACTAATAAAGAGGAAGTACAGAAAATTCTTGAGAATTCATATAAAAATAAGCTACAAAACACTTGAATCCATACTCTAAGATATTATCTTTAAACTTTTTGAAGCACATTTTTATTAGCACACCTTTCTGCATGCTCCTGGAAAAGTCTTAACTGTGGTGTCTCTACAGTGAATAGCAACTTGTATACTCCTGCAGCAAAGTATGAGCCAAGACCTTTGATTAGCATGGAGTGTTGAACGACTGTTAGCTGACTGTAAAAAAACAACTTTGCCAAAATAACATTTAAAATAGTTTTCCTAGTCAAACCACCAAATCTAAGAAAGCAATTTTTAAAAGAGTGATCTTTACAGCTGAAAACAGACAGATGGTAGTAAAGAATCTGGGACATTCTCTCTTTAGAGATGTTTCACCAGCTTCAGAAAGGACACCTAGAGAACGCATTTAACTATGTGCTGGCATTTAACAATTGTGCCAAGAAATCTGAAAGCCTACTTCCATTCCTACATGATTTAATTTCATATTTAAATATATTATTGTATCAGTATCAATTTTAATTGAAAGCTACTTTGTTACACAAAGCCAAGGGATCCTAAGGTGCACCCTTTGACGGCTGTGGCCGTATCATGATACTTAGCAGGTAACATCAATCTGAATTCATTCATATTTTAAAGAAAAAGAAGATCACAAGGTTCCACTGCCTAGTGGATCTAGTACATTACAAATATTCTTCCTAGGCTATTTTTAATGCCACAAAACAACACTGACAAAATAATTAACAGAATCTACATATTTCAGAAGGTCTTCTGGAAGTCATACCTTCAGATGCCTCCATGCCTCTATATCTACTTCAGAGCCTTCTGCTCGTACCTCTTCCCTTGTTCAAGCTCATGCACGAGCTCAGACACAAGAAGATATTGTCACAGAAGCTACCAAGACTTCATCTTACTTGACATGGGGTGAGATTTTCATAGTGGCCCCTGACCATACGCACACTGATAAACTCATTCTCCAATTGTTTAGTCCCTATCAAAGTAAAAATCTCAGCAAAGTCAATGAAAATATTATCTGAATAAAGACTGAACATAAAATGCCTTACAGCTCCAAGATTTGTCCTCATTTTTACGTCTATCTTTTGACATATGTAACAATAGCTGAGTAGACTATAAAAAAATTGATTTTTCAGCTGCAATCTAGATATATAGGTCAGAATTCTTAAAACTCAAAACAGTTTCCCATTCTCCTAGCTACAGATGCTGGGTCATTAAGGTCATTAAGGTGATGAAAAATGAGAACTTCAGAGGCAAAATAAAACAGCTCTTGTTCTATTCATTCCTATCGTTTAGAATAAATGTTTATTTTTTAAAAGAAAAAGAACAAATATCACTGAAGACTATTCCTCTCTAGTCTACGGCCAGTTAGGAATTCATCATAACCTTTCAGGTAAGAGTTGGGTTTTCATCTAAACCTACATTCTTGCTTTGACTCACAGACAATCAACACAATTCAGAAAGTTTTAAAAAATAGACATATTTGTCTAAAATCCCTAATGGATCTCAAACTACCATTGCCATGGTAACCTGTGAATAACTTTCGCCTAGGCTTTGCCAATTATGCAATTCTTTGGCTCTTGACACCCAGCACATTCTTTATACCATAAGATTTGTAGGGGAAGAAAAAAAAGTTTCAGTATTATCCAACACATACCCTCTTGCTCAGTCCTGGTCATTTCTTCTAGTTTCTTCTGCTTCAGTGTGTCCACCACATCAGCAAGGCTTCCTTTGCGGCGTTCTGGCGTTCCAAAATTAACACCCGTCATTAGCTCACTGCGGTCACGACCTCCTTCGTCGGGCTTGTGTGGTGAGGTAGAGGTATTTCGGAAGGAATATAGGGAACATAACTTATTACTCTCTGACTCCTGCAAAGAAACAACACAGTGTGAAAACATAGGCTATTCTCTTATATCAGGAGGATCTCAAACAGGTAGCAATTGAAAGCATTACTTATTAGCATGTCATACTAAGGAGCCTATATGTATCCTGCAGCTTCTGAAATGGGCGTTATGATTTGAATGCCTTAGCTTCAGTGCTTGACAGGGGCCTCTTTTTCCTTAAGGCAAGTCCTCTCCATGTTTCTTACTGTCATATTTCATGCCTGAGATAGTCCTCATCAACGATTCTGCTTGTCAGAAAGAAGCGATTTCAACACTTTTTTCAATGAACTTGTTCAGCTTTTGAAGTTTTCTTTTTCTTTTCTTTTTTTTTTTTTAAATAACGGCATCATATGTAGCACCAAGAGAAAAAAATACAGGCAAAGTCAAATAGTTCCTGGACAGATCCTCGGTTAATGGAAATCAACATAGATTTAAAACTTGAGAAGGAGTTAGGCCAATATTAACTGAAGGGCAAAGACAATCAAATGAATACACTTCGCAGTGAAACAAGGCATATGGTATGCATCCATCCATACTCATTTACTGCTCTTTAGATTATATCCTTTTCTTAAAGAATAAGGATTAGAGTGCTTCTGAAATACAAAAGCAAATGGGTTTATGGCAGAACAAGTCATGTAGGCTGATACACAGGTATTAGGACTGCACTTGTCAAAAGAGGGATTATATAGTCAAAAATACAGAAACAGAAGTAAAAAATGTATATATATCTCCTTTGCCAATAGGTAACACATAGTATTTGGAAATAAGCTAAGAAATAAGCAACAAAAGCAACCATTAATGTCCAGCTCTCATCAATTTTGCTGTATCACTCAAGAGGAGAGCCTTATATATGCGATCCTCTTTTGCTCAGCCTCCTCAGCCTCCCAGCCACAGTCATTTACTGCATCTCTGCTCTCACTCTCTCCGCTAAAAATTTGCCCTTCAATTTGCCCTTAAAGCCTCAACCACAAGAATTTCTCGTGCAGTTTGCTTTCCAAAATTATTATACTATTTTAATTTTTTAATGATATCAGCTGGGATATTCAAAATTTGCGGTAAAAAATATTGAGCTTTTTGTTTATTGTTGACTAGAAATGTTAGTGACTATATTCAATGCCATAAAACAGATTTTCGTTAAGATTATAATATAAAGAGTAATGCTAACAGTCACAATATATTTAAGAATTAACAGATTTATTAATAGTTCTATCAGAAATCATTCTCCCAATGCCATGGTAAATGCACAGTATGCACAACAAACAATCATATTCCTACCACTCTGTGAGCTGAAAAAACACATCTACAGAGTACTGAGGAAACCTATGTTGTGAAATATCCCTTGTGAAACAGTCTGAAGAAAGAGGGACTAGCAAACATTAACCATTGGCAACAATGTCAGACATAAATCTTTCCTTCAGGCTTGAAGGGATTAAGAAGTGGCCGTGCAAAATAACAGAAGGAACAACACTAACAGTGAACAAGCGTGGTAACTAAGGGCTGTGGACCGAGTAGAAGGTGGTGGTGACAACTGCCATCGAGCACTGCGGTATATGATCAGCACAGCATTATTATTGCCACTAGAGAAGGAGGCAGCAACTGCTAGTGATGTTGAAAATGCATTTATTCACTAAGGCAGTAAACTAGAAGAAGATGTTATATCATACCAGCAGTCACAGCATCCCTTTCAACACAGCAGTAGTGACAGAAGTTATGTTAGCATGGCTAGAAAGAGAGATGGCATGGAACAAACCTCTATCCTTGTTTTTTAATCTATGAGACATTAAAGAATGTCTTATTTAATCCATTTGTATTGATTAAAGAATCAGAGATCACACAAAACGATAGCTTAGATGGACTTGGTTTGGAGCTGCATTTATTTTGTTGCTACAAAAGGAAGGCGTTATTATCTTTGATAGTTTCTGAACACTCTTTTGCACTTTTCCTAAAACTTTTTTAAAATTCCTGTGGGAATGAAAAAAGCATCTTCTAATATTTTTCAAATTTAAAACTTGAGTTTCTATAATACATTTCCTCAATGAAGAATTAGTATCATATAACATGCCATTTACACCTTTGAAGCTTACAGTATAAAAGTAACTTAGTAATTTAAAAAGAGTTTGTTCTCAAGAAAGCAAGTCCTCTTACAGTCCATGGAGAATATCCATCAAGCTCAATGGGGTTTTTATCATGCTCTCAGCAAAGAACACTCAATCTATTGTTTAGGCGGAGACAAGAAGATAAGGCTAATCTGTGGGGTAAGTAGAAATGACTGAATGTTCTTCCTCATGATAGCCTATACTACCCCTCCTCTGGAGGCATCCGCAGTCCAGTGCAATGTTCCTTCAGCACTCATGTAAGACTCTCCAAATGCTGCCTCCATTAGGCACCACAACCACATTTCTTTTTCTTTGCCCCAAAGCCTGAAATGCCCATAACGGAGAAGTGACAAGTTTAGCTCCTATGAAAACGACGCATGTTTACGGGGCAGAGACAGAGTGATAATCTCCCAAAGAATGAGGATATGCTCAACTAATATAGTATATTGTAATGTCAGTTTTGTGGATAATTAAAATGTAGAATAAAAGAAGAACAAAAGGTATCCCTAATGTGTTTGGTTCTGTTTGGCTCTGCAGCTGCAGTACTGGGATCACTAAATGGCTAATACGTTTACAGTGTACTATCTGAATTGGCACTTAAGAAGCCCAGCAATGATGGCTTTCTGAACTCATTTTCTCTGAAATCAGCAGTGGTAAAAAGGGTGGCTGAGGAGCCAACAAGAGAACTGCACAAACTCAAAGGCATTCAAGGGATTAAATGGGCAAAGGGAAAAACTGTAGACTGGTCCAGTGTAAATACATAACTAATAACAGCGGAACTCTGAAAAATCTAAATCAGCTGCATCTACAATTATCTACAAGAAAAAAGACCAATTCCCATGCACTCTATGAGTCTAGATAAATTTTACAAAACCTAAGGATAAAATTGCTAACTTTTGCGAAGTGTACTGAAACATTATGAAGGCTTCAGATAAGTATTTTTACTCTCATATATCTACAGTTGGCAGCTTTCTCTTTCACCCAGTCATATGAACAGCTTATAATGATCTCACAATCATGGAAAACTAGACAGGTTAAAAAACAATGGGGCAAGGGATGCCTTTGCAACATATTTTCTCCAGAAAGGTGACTCATCTGTATTTGAGAGGCGGTTGGTACTGCAATGATCGGCTTGTTCAAAATCGAATAAAGCTTACAGCAAATTCATGGAGGATTTTGATATGCTTGGTGCACCACATCATCTTTCATGGAATAATTTACATCATATTTATGTCCCAGCACCTTACCCGCTGCATGACCAGAAGTGCGCCCAGCACATGCATCAAAATGCAGGCCTGACTATCAAAAGTTCGTATGTGCACACATTCACAGCCAGCATGCAGATACCCTCATAATGTAACTGGAAATGCATCCTCATGGCACAGAAATCCTGAGAAAAGAGATCAGCAAGGCATGGGTATTGTTTCGTAGAAGCAGTATCTCTCCTCCACAAATTGCTGGTTGGTCCTCTTGCACTAATGCACAAGATATTCTCTCTAGAGAATCTAGAGTCCAGAAGAGAAAGGACCACTACGCTTCTCATCATACAACCAGAAAATGAACGTGTGGGTAGGCAAGGAGAACATGGTTCTTTTCAAGATGGGAGGATTCAATAACAGAAGAGATCCTATCCCTGAAAAGCTTTACGAAGCCACCTTTTACAGAATGAGGAAGCTCCATTTCTTCTCACCTGAAGAGAGGAGGGAGGGAAAGCTACTCAAAGGTATTTTTCATGCCCTTTCCAAGAGTATAGAAGAGCTACCAATAAGTGCCTAGCCAAGATCAACTTAAAGGTTTTCATTTTGCAAAACCTGGCTCAGCAATCCATCAGCACTGATGGAAATTCTCAGTACAAGTCAACTTTTCTCAGCATAACTGATAATATTTAATAGGAAAATAGGCGAGAAAATATCTGGCTAATATGAACATCTATTTAATGCATTTGTACACAGTCTGGTGGTCGAATTCATCCAATAGCTATACAGTACACCAGACAACTCACGTTCCCAAATCCTCAAATTTAAAATACATATATTTCAAGTCTAAACTTGAAATTATATCTTCAACTCAGGATACTCCCTTTGAAAGCTCTATTTTCCAAAGCATACAACTATTACTGACTTCAGTGGTTACCATGTTAGAATGGGAAAAAAAGAAAATTTATGAACTTAAGGTAAATAGCAAACATATAGCAAACATACAGTGTATGGACACAAAAACTTAGCCTAGGACAGGCTTTTTCATCCAATGTCATTGAAAATCAGTAATAGTAAACCTATGCATTTTTAGTCTTGACTACATCAGATTTAAATCAACTTCCAATCAAGAAATAGAATACTGAAATATTAATAAAGCTGCAGTATCAAAATATTCTTTCCTCCTGAAGCAAGAAGCGTATTTTACTTCCAATGAGAACAGATTTGAGAAAAGAAATTTAAGAAAAAGCCACATTTGCAAAACTTCTTTGAATTTGGTCCTAACAGAATATTTTATCCTTAGTTAAAGTATCGCTTACTGCAGCTAACGAAGCAAAGTGAGTTCATTCTTTTCTGTTTAATCCAAAGCAACATGTGGCGCAGACTGCCCATGTTCTCATACCTTTGCTAGACTTATTAAACTGTCCTCTCACTCACACATTATTATTGGATCATCGCAGAACTGTATGTGCTCGTACCAGAATACACAAGCATTGCAAAGGGGTTTTGATTCTTCATCAGGACACATTCATTATCTACAAATCACCCACCACAATGGTGACATTTAAAGACCAGCCCTTAATAAGAGATAAAAATTAAAATGTGAAGACAACTTCTGACACAAAAGACATACATCTGACTTCTTAAGAAACAAAATGTATGGTGATCGTATATCTTAAACTTCCTTCTTTGT